TCCATTTGATAAATTTGGGGTCATCAGATTTGAGAGGTGTGGCAGTGATGTGCTTGAGCCGCCCTCTCCCATCCAACGCCAGACTCATTTTGCGCGCCCAAATGGCGTAGTTCCTATCGTTGAGCTTTTCCGCCATATTTAATGGCTGATTGGAAGAGCTCTCGATAGGTTCGGCCTTGGGTGCCAAATTCTGAAAATTTTGAAGAATTTCCAGAATTTGTGCAAGATTGATCGGCTGATTTTTCGGGTCAGATTCCTCTGTGTTTATGGAACTGCCCGTTTGAGGAGTTTTATCGGACATATTTTTTTTTGGTATATGATGAATGCTGTGTTTCATTCAATTGTTTGATCGAATGATGGCTCTGATACCATATTAGAAATATTAGAATGAATTCACAGCATAATATTCATCTTAATTTGAATACATCACACTTGGTGTCTATAAATATTACAAATTACATAAAGAGGACAATTAAGGAAGGTGATTGGAACCTAATCAAATATCTTGATTGGTAATTTGATTCCAATCAAGGATATTATCAAGATATTACAATCAATTCCTTTGTTTGACACTATTCCTTTGTTTGACATTTTTAACAGCTACAAATACACTAAGATCCATAAAATGAGCATGGAGCTTAGGTACACGAAACAATTTGACACATAATATATTCAAATTCTTCCGTGGACATAAAGTCCATCCTAATTTTATGGATCTAGTGTATTTATAACATAAAAAATTAGACCTTTAACAAAAAAGAAAATATCAAGCCAATGAAACATATAAGAAAATGTACATTAAATTTTAAATGTGGACATTAAAATGAGAATAGTGTAAGCATTGCTCCTAGATATATTAAAGGTACGTGGTGCATGACATAAGATGACGGAGCCCTAGCGTCACAAACATTTTGCCCGACCAAATTCTCATTCTCTCTCCCTCAATCTATCTTATCTTTCATTTTCACCAAAAAGTCCCAATAACCTAATCAAACTCCATTGTTTCCCCTTCGTTAGGACGTTACATATTCACCCCTCCCTAAATAAATTACAATTTTTTTTCTCTCATCTCGATAACTTTTGTTTGTTTATGCGATTTCATTAAATATTTGATAAAATAAAATATACCAATTTGTAAATAAAATGATTTCAAAAAGTAAAATTTTACTTTGTAATCCGTAATTTGTAATCAAATTGGGGACAGAGGGAGTACATAATACCACTACTTGTACATAGCCATATCTGTATCTATCTATCTATCTATCTGATAATGATGATAATGATGAGATTTAATTAAAAACTAATTAATCCCTCTCAATTCAATCATGATTATTAAGAAATACCATACCCAAAATTCAAGAAACACAAACCGCAGCCATTATATATAATTATATATGATCAGGTGGACTAATGATCACTAACCAAACCAAACCCAGAAATCAGATTTATAGAACCCAAAAAAAAAACATCAAACAAAATTAAATTAAACCACTAGCTAGGGATATACTTTGCTGCATTTTTTAAAAAACGAGTTGGAGAAATTAAAAAATTTTCTCGCAAAACACTATTCCATGTATGCATGTTTTAGTTAGTTAGTTGGTTTCGAGGATATCAATGTTGTTGTTGTTGGTTCTCTGTCTCTTGGAACTCCCAGCAGCCCCGGACGAGTGATCGTCCCCGCCGCCGCCGCCGCTGCCTTTCTCAATCACCGCTCTCAAGGCCTCCTGGATCGAGCTTATAGAGCAAAGCTGTGGCGGGCCGCCGTCCTGCCGGAATCGGTCTTCGCCGGTGACGAAGAGGACGTTGCGGACGCGGCCGCCGACGGTGGTGATCTCGGCTTTGAGAGTGCGCAGCCTGAGGGCTTTGAGGGCCTTGATCAGGTCCGGCCGATCCTCGCAGCACAAGGAGGCTCGGATCATGGGCTTCCCGTCGTTGGCGGCGGTGTCCACCGTGAGCTCGTCGGTCTCCGTCGGGATTAGGGTTGTCTCGGAGATGAGTGATGTTTGCCTCCTCAGCTCCTTCACGTGTTGGATCACCTCCGCTAGTAATGATGCTTTATCAGTCTGCATTTCATAAACATTTAGCCATTGTTTGGATAAGAGGAGAAAATGAGTGGAAAGAAAATGGATGGAAAGAAAATAGAGAGGAAAGAAAATGAAGAGAAAATGGGAAGGAAATTATTGTTGTTTGGATGAGTGGAAAATGAACTAAAAATGTAAAAGGAAAGAAAAGGTGATAAAGCCAAAAAGACATTTTTGCCCTTTCTTTTTATAATTGAAAAAAAATACTCCCTCCGTCCGGAAATGTTCTTCCCGTGTTAACTTGGCACGCTTATTAAGGAATAGTAAAAAAATGCAAAATTTTCAAAAATGCACATACTATAAACTTTTAAATCTCCTTTTATTATTAAAAAAGTATTAAAAAAGTAGATTTGTGATAAAATAGAAGGGTATTATTGATATTTAGCCTTAAAAAGCATACTAAAAAAGGAAATGAGAAGATTATTTCCGGACGGACCAAAAAGGAAAATGGTAAGAATATTTTCGGACGAAGGGAGTATATGGAGGATATAAGATAGAATGCAGGGCAAAATTGTCAATTTACTAGTTTTCTCTTCAATTGGTCCATTTTCCCGCCACTTGAGCAGGGAAAAGTTTTTGGGGTGGTGCCTCTCATGATTTCTTTCCTTCCCTCATTTTCATCCCTAACCAAACAAAGGAAACTTTATTGAAATTTGTATTTTCTTCCCTCTCATTTTCTTTCTCTCTAAAATCACCACATCCAAACATGGGCTTAGTAATATATACTCCAAACTTATTGTATCATATCTATTCATCACTATTAATGTATCCATCATATTAAGAGTTGTTTATTAAAACACAAACATCTCTATTAAATTCCTTAAAAATCAAAACTAGAATGACTTATGAGAAAAAGAGTATACTCCGTATTTAGTAATGATGCTTTATCCGTCTGCATTTCATAAACATTTAGTAATACTCTATTTAGTAATACTCTATCCGTCCCATAAAGTCAGTCCCGTTCAAAAAAATTGCGTCCAAGTCATTCCTATTTCTATTAAGGGAAAAAAACCTAAATAGGACTAAAACATATCAAATATACCTAAATAGGAGTCCAAAACATAAATTCCCCAAATAGGACTTAGTTTGCATGGCCATCCCCAAAATACCCTACCCTCCCTCTCATCTCTCCCGCAAACCTTTAACTACCAAACATAAAATAAATATATTACTATTAAAGTTAAGTGTTGCATTATTGTTGACTTAAGGTGGCCAATTACAATATAAAATTTTAGTTTTCTCATTTACACGTAAAACAATTTATAAGAGTCCCTAAAGTTGGTCATGTATATGCCAATATGTGGCACTGTACACAGCATTGAATGACAAAGGTTATTTAGATGAAACGAAATTATGAAATAAAAGTGTCAACAAGGAAGAACATTTTAAAAAGTACATTATATCTTAGTACAAGCAATTTTAACACAATTAAATCATACTAAAAAAAGTCATGTAATGCAACATAAAGTGATATCAAATAGTGTTTGGATCTTCCACTCATGGAATAGGATTTCTATGTGTTTGGGTGGACTATACCAGCATATGTACATATATACTAACGCTTCAATTTTGTAGAAAGGAGAGATAAAATCATAACAAGATAAGTCAGGACGTCTCTTAATAGCAGCCACCGCATGAACGCAAATAAATTGATCCAATTAGAATTCACATGTCCATGTTTTGTCCTTTAAACTCATATGGACATGTTGACTTTAATTGCATAACAAAAAAATAAAAATATTCAATGGTTAATATGCAATTAAAAAAATTCATGATAGTCCAACAAAGTACTCCGTATGTAATGTGGATATTACCAGGGTCATAATGTGTAATGTGGTGATGAATATTACGAACCATTGTAATGTAAAGTGTCACAGTATGTAATGTGGTAATGTGTATTACAAAGAGTTGTAATGTAGACGAGGCAGATTGTGAATTGTGACACGGAAAGGAAAAGGAGGGCAAAATCGGGAGAGAAAGAAAGAATGTGGCGGGAGAGGTCCTAGTTGGGGGATAAAAAACATGAACTCCTATTTTAGGGATAAACACAATGTTTTAGTCCTATTAGGGGTGATTTCTATTCTATTAAAAAATCACTTTTACCCCTTATTTTTTCATACCTACTTATCACATCATACCTTTTTTCTAATAATCTACACATCATATTTTACTTTTACCAATCACATCAAGGATATTTTTTAAAAGTCAATACCAAATTATCTCTCCTTATTTTACCATTTTAGTCAAACCGTCCCTATCTTTATGGGACGGAGGAAGTATATATTTATTAGATCATATTTATTCATCACTATTTATCTATCCATCATATTAAGAATTATTTATTAATGTCTATTGAATTCCTAAAAACCCAGAACTAGAATGACTTATGAGAAAAAGAGTATATTTTAGTCCTTTACTTCTATAAAAGTTTATCTATTTTCACTTTAAAAAACGGTATTGAAAATACAAATTATGTGTTTGAAACTTGTTTAGCAAGATTGAAAGAATTTAAACTTCTTTAATTTAAAATAAAATAATGTGAGTAAGAACTTTTTTTTTATATCTAAAAAAAAAAAAAGAAAGTTTTTTTATGAGACACAAAGGTACTCTCTCCGTCTCACCTTTTGTTTTACGTGTCTCACAAAATCCATTCATTTTACTATTATCATACTTATCACATCATATTTTTTTACTAATAAAAATTTACTCATCGCATTTTAATTTTACTCATTGCATAAAGGATATTTTTAGAAAGCTAACACAACAATATTCCCTTAAATTTATTAAAGGTCAAAATGAAAATAACATTACAAGATGGAGAGTATATATTCTAGACGTATTTCTAATACACCATCACGTGCAAACAAAGTTTGTACTCCCTCTGTCCCTAAATGTTTACCACATTTCAAATAATGTGATAAAATATCAAAATTTTCAATTCATTTTATAGAACTTATGATAAAGTTTTTTAAATATTTAAATTATATTATTTTTATACTAATTTATAAATAAAATTAATTTGAAAAAGATTAGATTTTGCATGTAAAAACGAAATTGAAAAGGTTTTGGTGAATGGAGGGACTAGAAAACAACTTAAATTTTAGGAAGGTCAAGAATGTTTATACTCTAAAATTAATTAACCAGATATTGAAAAAAATTAAAAAAAAAATACGCACCAATAGCAGAGTATATAATTATGCATTTTCATTTAGCGTTTACAGTATTTTCCCCAACACTAATGATCAGTTATGATGATCATGTTGTGTTGACTAATCATATCCAATTTCATGTGGGGCCCCATGGCTGTCAAAAATACCCTCTCATGGGCTACAAGACTACACACAAGTCAGCTCCTTTGAACTGACACCTATGGGCTCACTAACCCGCATGCTCACCCCGGCCCAATCCCATCCATCTCTAAATTTAATTTACTGATTAAATTAAATACATGCTTAAATTTTATACTCAGTAAAATTTAAATTAAAGAAAAATGTTATGTCTATTCCAGTATATGATGTTCAAATAAAAATATTTTTAATTCATTTTATTTGAGAATTTGTGCAAAATTGAATAGGGTGATTAATCAATTCTTCAATGTTCAATATGGAAAATTAAAATGAACAGTTATAATACGAAGTACGGAGTAAATGGAGTAAACTGTATGGTGGATTTCTTAAGTAATTTCCAATTACCGGAGTAGCAAATTTCATTTATTTATTATCTTACTTTATGACAACAATTCCTTAGTTAAGTGAACGTCATAATAATGTTCAAACGATTTAATTTGGTATTACTTTTAGAAATTATTACTTGAAAATGTGTACGAGAATGACAATCAAAGTCATAAAATGGGGTTCATCGCCATCATCATCATTATCATGTAAGGTAAGTAAATATACGGTGGGGTACATTTAACAATAAAAAATATTGTCATCATATGGTGATAACAAAGGTTAAGCTATTTTGATGGAAAAATTAAGAGTAATTCAATAATTGGTGTTTTATTACATTGATTGTAGTTTCTCTATTGAGTTTTTTATTATCAAATTTTACTGAGGTAGTTCTTCTTTTATCAATATCTTTCCATAAATAATCTTTTTTTATATTCTATCATGTTGATATTAATTTGAGTGCTAAAAATATAATTTCACAATGATAATATATCCTTCATGTCATACACAATTGCAAAGGCTGTTCTTGATGTGTCGTTTGTGAATTACAGTCTCTTTCTACCAACACCATAGTCCACAAATGTGGTCTTTATCAGAATCCTAACCCACAATTATATTCATTATTTTTATATTATCCGTCTTACCGATATTAGAATACGTCACTGGACATAGGGCTGACAAAAAGCGCCTATAAAAGAAGGACTACGAGAGTATTACTTGATAAAAGAAGACTAAATATGAGAAACTCCTTGTTATAAAGGACGAATTATGAAATTTTCTCATCGAAAATAAATAGTTCATATTTCATACTCTTTAAACCTCCTTACCCCCCTACCCCCAACGCCAGCATCCCCCTACGGCCTACCCCCACCCCATCATTCTCATAGTTTCATTCTATAATGAAAAATTTCAAAATGTAGAATATTAGTAGTCATTCGATATCACTTTTTCCGAAAACTACCAATAAAGTAAATTTAAATTATATGTAATTATAGTTTATTAAAATTAATTTGTAAAACATCTTATTGTTAAGGACTATTTTAGAGATTCACCCTAATTTTTTTTTACCTATGATCAATGTTCCATGCACTCTCTTATTGTAAATAAAAAAGTTATTTACCTAGAGATTCACCCTAATTTTTATTTACCTATTCGAATTAAATTGTTCAAATTAAAAAAAAGTTATCTGTATAATTGTATGCACTATAAAGTAGGACATCTAGAATTTAAAAAGAGAAAATTAAAATAGTATGACATGATTATTTAATTGTTTTAAAAAAAAGCGAGCTAGCTATTAACATACAGAATTAATAAATTAATAAGACCTAGCTAGGACACATAAAATGAGGCAACACCGACCAAGTACGCAGAATTGTCTCAATTCTTTAGGATAGTTTTGATTCTTTTACGAGTGTTTTCCGAAGGACCGGACCGGTCGAACCTTAAGACGGAGGAAGGCGCGATTAAAGCTATATTTTGTGCTGTTGTTTGGTTCCTCTTTAACACATCAACCTATCGACATTAAAGTCTTTCTTTTTCCTCGGAACTCCCCCCAGGCCACTAATTTATTTCAATGCCCAATTTTTGGTAGATTATATTGTATGACATGCCCTAACCAATCTTTTGGGCAGAAGTCCTATAACCGGTCTTATGTTTTTTTTTTTCCTTTTTTGCTTCTTATATGACCGAGGTTAACTTTAATTTCTTGTAGGGTAGTTTTAATTATTAGTATTTTTCAAATGTAAAAAAGTCTTTTTATTTTTACATAATATAAAGCGGAGTAATATTCGATCAGTGTTTATATATAATCTCTCCTACCTGCACGGGATAGCTTTTTCTTTTTTTTGTTAAGTTTCTGCTTCAAATTTAATCGTTCATTTTTTTAGATTATGATTCAGATTTATTTTTCTGTTTATAACATTTTTGGGATTAATAAGTTTTTGCAATAACATTCAGTATAAAATATCCCCTATAGAACAATATGTTTACATTATACGAATATTATTTTTATTTAAACGAATAAAACTTAATCTGAAGACTTTTATTTTTACTCCATTCATCCACTTTATTTTTTCTCAATGGTCATTTTTTCAATTTCCGTTTTAGGTAATTTTTATTATTCGATGTTTATTATTGATTACTTATTTTCATTGATTTATATCAGATTAGATCAGAAATGGATTCAAATATAGCTTAAATGAAATCATATCAAATTTCAATAGAATAAGACTAGATACAATCAATTCGAACAAATCTAACATGTTCTTAATCATTACGTGCTACCTCTATTCACTACCCCAGTATTTCTTTAATACTCCGTAACTTTTTTTCTGCAAATTCGGAAAATCTTCTACTCCCTCCGTTCTATAAAAGTGTTCCTATTTTGACTTTGTGTAAAAATAAGGAAGTGTTAAATTGTAGTTACTTCTAATTTTGCCATGGCCTTGATGTGATGGGTAAAAATAGGATGTGATGGATTGAGTATTAGAAAAAAAGTATGATGTGATAGGTAGGGTATGAAAAAGTAAGGGTAAAAGTGGTTTTTTAATAAAAAGTGGAAGTGTTTTGGTGAATGTAAAAAAATGAAAGAAGAAGAGTATATATATCTAAATTCCTTAAATTTGATGTGTTTTTGGAAATGAATTGGGCAACTGAATTACAATAATATTGATCTTCAACTCTTTTGATAAAATTAAAGAACCAAAATTCGAAAACAATACTACTTTAATTTTTCGAAAGAGGTCGTCTAATTAGAGCACACAATTTTCAATTTAGCTTTAACAATTAGTTGGTGAAAATTGGTAAAGGGAAAAGCTTATAAATATTTGAGAAAAATTGATTCTTCAAATCCATTTAAATCTATGATATTCTAGAAAAAGTGGAAAATATTTTATGAAAAGAAAATTCTGCACAAAATAATCTAACCTTACAGTGAACTGTTAATAATAATCACTCATTTATATTAGTATTTGTAAAAAATTATTAAAAAACATATCATATGAAATCTCTTGCCAATAAACACTCAACAAATTATAGAGTGTTTTTTTTACAAAAATTAAATAGTTGAAGAGCTTTTTTTGATGATGAAGGGTTAGAAGGTCCTAGCTAGCTTTCCCATAAAAAAACATGGACTATAATTACATGCATGTGTTTTTCAAAAGAATGAAATGATTATGATTCTTATAAAGTTTTTTTATGTCGATGAAAAAATTATATGCGGCGTGGAAAATAATAATAATAATAATAATAATAATAATAATAATAATACGGAGAAATAACAATAACAATAATAATAATACGGAGAAATTAATTAAGTAAAATCATTATTAAACCTACCTTTGTTGTATTAGGAAGGAGACTACGGAGCTTAGCAAGATGATTATTAATCCTCTCCCTTCTCCTCCTCTCCGCCTCGCTATGGCTCTTCGAGGCCGCCAGCGCCTTGGCGTCCATTATTTCCTGCGCCGTCATCTTCTGCAGCTCCGCTTGCAGCCCAAACGGCACCCCGAAGCCCGGCTGATGCGCATCCGAGATGATCCCCCGGAAGTGGTCCCCCGCGCCGTCGTGCCTCCTCCCGCCGAAGAGGCCGCCGTACGGGGAGGCGGAGGCGGGCGGGAGGAGGAAGTGGTCCGGTTCGTGGCCGGTCTGGAAGGTGCTGGCCGGGTTGAAGCCATGGACAGGCCACGGGAGAACCGGAGACATTTCGTGGAACATCAAATCTGTTCTCGCGGTGGCTTGGCCGCCGCCGCCGCCTCCGCTGCTACTACTGCTCCCCATGTATGCATCTGTGATGATTCGTGGCCGCTGCATATCTAGCTGCTAGCTAGCTTCTGATCTTATTATATATATACTTATATGATCCTTAAAATTTGGAAAAAAGAAAACCCTAATTTGATCCTTATTAATGGTTGGTTTTGGGTGGGAGATGAAGAGTGGAAATCAATATAATAATGGAGGGAGAATTTGTGAAAGAATGAAGTGACCTTTCCGTTTGGGTTTGAGGTAGAGAGGTCTATTGGAATGGCATGATGAGATGGAAGTAGACAGGTCAAATAATGTTTGCTTTGGATCCATCCCTCCAATATATAGTCCCTCCATCCCAAAAATTAGGTTCATAATTTGACTTTTACGAAATTTAAAAAAAAATAAAAATGTAGGATTAAAAGCGATACAAAGAAAAGAAGAAAATAGTAAGTCACACAAAAATTTATAAAAGGGAAGATGAGACTTTTTTTTGGAACATTCCAAAGAAAAAATAAAATCTGTTTTTTCGGGACGGGGGAGTAATACTCTTCCCTTCTGTCATAAATCTTCTTAGATACGACTCACTGAGTTAAAATTTACCCACGTTAATCTCTTTACTTATTTTTACGACTCATTTCATAAAATAATATAATCTTGTCACCTTTTTTTGTAGAACTTTTTGTGTAGTTTAATTTTTTTCCTATATAAATATGTTTTAAAATTTTACATTTATAATTACATAAATCGAATAAAAATTAAAATTGGTCAAACCTCTAATGTATAGGCAAAGGAGAGATATTGGGTATTAATTACTCCCTCCGTCCCCTTGTATTTGTCCACTTTCATTTTTATACATCATCCAATACACTTCTTTAATCCATTTTATCTGGTAATTTGTATATTAAAAAATTATAAAAATTATATATTAATAATCTATATGTTAAGACAAATCAAATAAGATCACACATGACTATATTTAGGCTTACACATTGAGAGAATTTGATGAGTCAAAATGCTTAGATGAACAGTTCCAAAAATCAAATGTGAACAAATACAGGGGGACGAAGGGAGTATATTCAACCCTTTGTGTTTGTGAAATTATATGTTCCCTACTTCCCTTTGTGTTGTTAAAGGGCCCTCACTCCACCTCCACTCACATTTGTAGTCTCCTTTCCTTTCTCTTTACGCCCCTCTTCTCTACGTTTAAAATATACTCCCTCCGTCCCTAAATAAAGTTCTATTTTTGACTTTTTGAAAATATAAGGGAGGGATATTTTTGTGTTGACTTTCCAAAAATACCCTTGATATGATGTGTAAAAGTAAGATGTGATAGGTAAATTATTAGTAAAAATGTATGATGTGATAGGTAGGGTATGAAAAAGTAAGGGGCAAAAGAGGTTTTTTAAGAAAAAAGAGAAGTTTATTTAGGGACAATGAAAAAACGAAAGAGAAACTTTATTTAGGGACGGAGGGAGTATAAACAAACAATTCCACCTAAGAACTGATATACTTATTCAAATGATGAATGAATAATACGGAAGACATAACATTCGTATATTTGCTTCAAACACACCATAAAAGTGGAAGATAAAAGAAAAAAATGAGAAGACAAAATGCACTACAAGAAAAAAAATAGTTAAAGTTTCTCCCATTTTGATGCTTCAAAATGAGACAAAATCATTTTGTTTTCTTTCCCTTCTATTTTTTTTTTTTTGCAATGTATATGAATGCAAAGACTTGATTTTGGAGGAGTAAAAAAAGATTGTATGGTGAAAGTTTATGTAAAGAAAAGAATAAATTCTATTATTGGTCCTTTATAACAGGGGAGTTTCCCTATTTAGTCCTCTATTATCAAATATTACCTAAGTGGTCCTTCTTTTATGAGTACCTTTCCACAAATAGTCCTTTTTTGATCTTCTATTATGATGGTGTTAATTTGAGGGCTAAAAGTGTAATTTCACAATGATAATATATCTTTTTTGTCATACACAATTCCAAAGGCTGTTCCGTTTGCGTCGTTTGTGAATTACAGTCGCTTTTTACGACAACTATAGTCTACAAATGTGATCTTTCGTCAGAATCCTAGCCCACAAACATAGTCATTATTTTTGTGTTATCCGCTTAACCAATATCAGAACACGTCACTAGACATAATGTTGACGTCAAATTATAGTTTTAGCCTTTAATTTAACACCAACACGGCAGAAGATCAAAAAAAGTACCATTTGTGGAAAGATACCCTTAAAAAAAAGACTACGGGGGTAATAGTTGATAATAGAGGACTAAATATGGAAACCCCCCTGTTATAAAGGACTAATTATGGAATTTACTCTAAAGAAAATAGAAACAATGTGAATTACCTATTTCTTCTCTTAAATAGAATGAGACAACCTATTTATTTTCTTAAAATGAATGAGCGAGACATTTATTTAATTTGGAATCAGATCAAATCAAATAAAACCAATTGGTGACACCTGTAAGATTTAGATTAGACCAGATCATATTGGACTATATCAACTCAAAAATATATACAAGGTTAAGTTTAATTAGTTCAGATTAAATGAGACCATAAAGATTCGGATAGACTGTACCATATCGGACGTTAATAAATTTGAATCAGAACTAATCAGATCAGACGCATAGAACAAGCTCCAAGGGGGTAAGGGCTTGTTCTTCTATTCATTTTATTCTTATTACTCCATATATACGTGGTACTTATTATTTATTCTTATTAAATCCGATCAGATTAGAAAAATTCATATCTGAAATACATACAACTTTAACTAAAATTAGATCGAAGAAGAAGAGTATATTGGTAGGGGAGTAGTAGGCGATGGATGGAGTGGGGGGTGGGGGGGGGTGTATGAGAATAAAATAAACGGTACGGTGACTGAGCTCCACAACTCACGCCAACCATAGCTTTTGGGTGCTTCCCTGCAAAAGGTAGCCAAGCTAGAAGACCAAAAACATGTAATCATTTTGTCTTGCTTAGCTTGGAACACACTACATACATATACATACATATTCCATCTTCCCTTCCTAATAACCTAGCAGCAGCTGCACCAGNAATACATACAACTTTAACTAAAATTAGATCGAAGAAGAAGAGTATATTGGTAGGGGAGTAGTAGGCGATGGATGGAGTGGGGGGTGGGGGGGGGTGTATGAGAATAAAATAAACGGTACGGTGACTGAGCTCCACAACTCACGCCAACCATAGCTTTTGGGTGCTTCCCTGCAAAAGGTAGCCAAGCTAGAAGACCAAAAACATGTAATCATTTTGTCTTGCTTAGCTTGGAACACACTACATACATATACATACATATTCCATCTTCCCTTCCTAATAACCTAGCAGCAGCTGCACCAGCTTCTGGTCGGTCATTGAATTGCATGCATATATATATATACATACTCCTTTCGTATATAAATATTACAACATTTCAAAAAACGAAGCAAAAGTAAGATGTGATGGATAGATTATTAGAGAAAAAGTATGATGTGATAGGTAGGGTATGAAAAAGTATGGATAAAAGTGATTTTTTAATAGAAAAGGAAAGTGTTTTGTTGGAAGTGGAAAAAATGAAAGAGAAAGTGTTTTTGAGAATGGAGGGAGTACAAATTTTTCTTATTTTAATTACAAGGAAATTTTTAATTAAAGAGACTATATAATAGATCGAACAATTTAAATCTTTATATATAAACGTAGATCAGATCTGATATGGATGTTCAAGCTAAGGAATTAAGTTAAGGTAATTATGCAAAAGCTAATTAAGCTGGCTTTTCTTTTTGCACCTTATTGTCTCTTGCATTAATACTACGGAGTAATAATTAGATCTAACATGCATGGTCATTACTTAATTAATTAACTGACTCTCTATAAGAGAAAAGCCGGAGGGAGGAGGCTAGGAATAACATCATTTATAATGGAAAAGAATACGGAAATTTACTTTAAAAAAACACTAAAACATAATGACTTTCTCTAAATAGTATCATACTATCATATGTGTTTTTTCCTCCAGTGTAGCAGTTTTAGTCATTATCAATTTGTCATTATCCAAGTGAATGTTCACCATCATGGATATTATTCCTCCTTCTGGACATAATTATTAAGTGTCATTTAGTGAATAAAACAGTTTAAGTGGTATTTAGAGATATTTACTAATAAAAATATGTGAATAATTTAAAAAAAGGATTGTAACAATTAAAAAATTAAAAATAAGCAAATACAATATTAAAATTACGAAATACTACATTAATAAAAGGAGAAGTTTAACATGTTTAAACTTAAATTGAAGATGTGTTGAAGTGTTAGAATATAAATAACTGTTCTTGGGCCACAACCATAAGCTTGAGCTTGTGGTTGAGTTGGTTCCTTTGACATGATATCAGAGCTTCGTTGACTAAGAGGTCACGGGTTCGAAACTCAGCGCCACCCAATTTAAAAAAAAATTAAGGTTTCACGTGCAAGGCTCGAAAAAAACTATGCCTGCACGTGAGGGGGCGTGTTAGAATATAAATAACTGTTCTTAGGCCACAACCATAAGCTTGAGTTTGTGGTTGAGTTGGTTCCTTTGACATGAAGTTTAACAGGTTTAAACATAAATTGAAGATGTGTAGAATTTATATAGTTGAAAAGTAAAAAAAATAAATTTCAATTCGGACCAGCGCGGGGCCCGTTGCAATGGACGTCCGCTTGTCCGTTTCTACTGCGTTTCACGCCTGGCTCAGCGCCGTAGCTTAGATCATGCCGGCCATTCTGCAATGGGACTCCGGTGCTCCGGCTGCCTTTTTCTTTGGGCGCGGCGCTTCCTTAATTGCTCTAACTTCTATTTTTGGTCAAAATTGATCATTGTCTTCTGCTCCATATTTCTTACGCCAATTTAAGCAAAACTTTGAAGAACATAAGTAATCATAAAGTGGGGAAAGATGAAAGACAAGGTTCCCGCCGGTTAATCATCATCATCAGTACAACACGCATGCATGGCTAAAAAAAATCTCTGTTTTATACTACAATTTACATAAATGAGACTTAAACATTTCATTTTTATCCAAATAGGATCCGTCGTCTTATTCAAA